TTATTAGACTGTCAAATATTTAAAAGAGAATCTCACAGCATCCACTTTGATTCTAATATTATAAACTCGAACACAGTGCAGTCACGCTTGCGGACAAAAGGGCCGAGAGACGCGGAAAGTGATCTGTGTGAACAGGGACGGTCAGAAGGTGAGCGCCTCGCACTGTCCTAGGCAATTTAAGCCTCAACGGAAACAGAGATGTAACCAAAGAAAGTGTCACGCGATGTCCTGTCTCGAGGCGAAGAAATACTTCAACGCGTATAAAGACGGCGAATACAATTTGGTCGTCGGCGGAAGGAATATGTCGATTTACTGCTACAGGATGGAAACGAACGAGCCGAAAGAGTACTTAACACTGTTGGCTGGTCATCAAGAGAATTATGCAGCGATATATGATGAAACGTTAGTATGAAAGAGAAAATGACGTCTGCCTTCTTCTTCTTTTAACTTCCGCTTACTTTATCCTCATCCTTTAATTCCACCCCTTCACCTTCGCTCTATTCCTCCCAATAACCCAATAAAATAAAATGTTAAAAGTGAATCCTTTGCGTTGCATAATTTTCCTGCTAATACTTGGATCCCCTTAGATTATATTTAATTAAATGATATTTTGGGATTGAATAAAGGCACACGGATAATCGATAGAATTACAGATCCTAATCTGTTTCTCATTTTCATTAGATTGAACAACCCTTATCTGTGTCCCCGATCGGGATCGAGAAACCAGAACTGCAACTGCAACAATTCTGGGAAAACAACGTTCGGGAGGGTGCGAATCGATCCCGTGGATCTATCGGTCATAGGGAACGATTATACGTTCTCGAGGACGACGGGTTCGAATCGAGTCGAGTACGGCACGGCTGGTGACTGTAACAACGTTGCGTATTGTCCTCAGGGTCGTTTTAGTATTAACTTGAGCGGAACTCAATTGAAATTATCGTCGAGCGTCAGTTGGACGACGACGACATTTAGGACCTCGTCGGAAGTCCACAAAATCGTAAGTCTTTAATTTATGTAATTTCTAATCTCTCGATGAACGACGGCTTAAATATTTAATATTGATCTATATACGTGCACTTTACGTGTTTCAGAGTAATCAGCACGTGGTCGGAAAATGTGGAGGCTATTGCGGCTATTGTAAACCGAAGAACGGGTTAAAGTTAGACGTTCTACCACCCTAGTCCGTAACTTGTGGGGTTCAACAATCTCCAAATACCTGCCAGGTAAGCGAAGCGAACGATTACAAAATTAAGCATTTATTG